CAGAGGAGTCAAAGGTGTCTTGGTGGCCTCCCTCACTCGTCTCTTTCTAACACACTCAGTTTTTGAGGACGACCTGCTCCAGGCAGATTTACATATTTGTCATATTCCTTCCGTTTCCTGATGATGGATTTATTTGTGCTCTGAGGGACGCTCGGTGACTTGGAAATGTTCTTGTATCCTTCCCCGGCTAATGCTTTTCAATAACTTTTTCATAGAGCTGCTTGAGGTGTATTTTTGGTGTTCACTGGTGGAGTTCTATCCGGAGTACTGATTCACCAGTGGCTGAACCTTCCAGGTACAGGTGTCTTTATACTACAATCACACAGACACTATTACTGCCCTCACATTATCTCCATCTCACTAACTGTGTGACTTTGAACACCAACTGGTTGACCCTGTGTTGAATAAGACGAGTCACTTTAAAAGGAGTAAGTACTTATACAATCCCTTATTTGACATTACTTTGTAGAAACTTATTTTCATTATGACAGGAAAAAATCTCGTTTTGTTTTTTTGTTTTTTAAAGCCAAATTAAATTGACAGTGACTAAGTGTTAAAACCATCAGACCTTCACTGATGTGTACACACTGGATGACACCTTGACCTTGAGGAGGGGCTCCAGATGGAACACTAATATTTAATGGCTCCCACAGGTAACATGTGGCCTGTTAATGAGTGTTACACTAACAGCTGGTAATATATTAATAAGTGATGTGCAAAAATAAGAAAGGAAGCTGGAGAAGGTGATGCTGTTTGCAGGACATGAAGTCTGTTCCTATAGCGTCCTATAAGCTTGTAGGGTTTCAATGAGTGTAATCCTCTGACTTGAACACAAAGCAGCATTCTGTCAGCGGACAGTGAGGCAGGAACACAATCCGACTGTGTGGCACCGGGCTGGGCTTGATCTGGTCTCGGTCACCTGACACCGCGCACACACGGACACACAGGGCTCGGCTCTACCTCGCTCGGCGGGAGTGTGAAGAGGATCCAGCCCGTTATTTCAAGGTTATCTCCTGCAGGAGCCTCACTGCTCGGATCCTATGGGAATTCTGATAACCGCGATCTTTGTCTGGGCTGCCGTCGGAGGTAAGTGTTCAACACATCCATCAAACACCTACAGCCTCTGGATCTATGTGTATATATGTATAAATATATGTGGTGGACGCTTGGTGTGAACTGACGGTACAAAATGCGGGTAAGCGTCCATCTGTCGGGCTGCACCGGAGACGAGCCTCGTCTTGGACCTGCTGTCTCAGCGGTGGTTCTGTTCACCGACATGCAGCCGTCCTCACAATAAAACAAATGCGTTTTAATAGCAGAATATGCGGCGGACTGCCTGTGGTAACCTAACGGCGAAAGCCTCTGGGGTTTAACACTAATAGGCTAAACAGGAGCGCAGTTACATAATTTGTTCTGCGCCCACCTTCCAGCTCCTGTGCGCCAGACGCACGACGCCGCTGCTGGCTGCTTTACAGATATAATATTTACACACAGGAAACTATTTTACTACACAGCCGCCCCCAGCCAGCCCACCGAAACAACACAAACGCGCCTGTAAAGCTGCGCACAGGTGAGCGGATCAGCGCACATGTGCGCCTGCTGCGTGCCGACACGCGCCGGCCGCTGTGAAAGCCCCAGAAACCAGGTAGAACAAGTGTATGGCTGCAGGGGTGAGGGGCACAGAGGGGGAGTCTGCCTCCCCCACACACATGGAAACACGGCTGGTTTTGGTGCTGCGCTGTGAACGCGCAGTGATGTGCAGCATCACAGTCGATAACCCAAATAGAGCAGACTGGAAAGTGTCTGAGGTTGAAGTTCTGTCGCAGTGGGTTACAGGAGGAGAGAGCAGAGGGCACAGAGGGGGTTAGAGCCCCTCAGTGTTTAATTACAGGAAGAGCATGAAAGAAGCAGAGGAGTTATAGAATTTAGAAAGACGCTGTGAAACTGCACACAGACGCACGGCACAGACTGGCGCAGCAAAGTGCACCAGAAGGCAGAAGATGTGCTGTTGATGCTCCAAAGTTCCTGGAGGATGAACCTCAGACCCCGAACTTAATGTGTCCCCCAGTGTTGATGTAAAACCGACAGTCATTGTGTGACTCCACAGAAAACAGCTAAATGTAAAAGTACACTGTAAAAAGCGTTTCACTGATTCCAATTTATTTAACCAATTACTGTTATTTTGCAGATGTTCTCTGTGTTATGAAATATCCGAATGATGAATTAATTTACCCTTTAACCATATGTAAAAACATCCCAAAACTGTAAACAACATCCACAAAAGAAGTGCTTTTACAAATAGTAGTTTGGTTTTGACCTTATTCAATTCAGGGGGGAAAATGACCTTAGTTTACAGATTTATTTTTGTACAGTTTTCAAAAGTGACAACAATCCACTGTTTGTTTTTTTACATACTTTTTGTGGTGCTCTTGCTGCCAGATTTTTTTTTAACAAAATGTTTTTCAGATATTTAGTTTTACAGTAAACTGGAGGAGGCTAATAAACTTCTAAATATCACCAAAGGTCAGACAGGCTTCGTTTTATTATAAACTCTGTGTTCGCATCCACAGCCGCTGCATTTTGACCACATGTGGCTTCACTCTTTAGTCAAGATGACATTTTGGAGCTGAATTTGTCCCTTTTGACTCGGGCGCATGATTCCTTCATTTCTGACATTGACTTTGGTCGACTCCGTGGGTGGCAGGACAAGCCAATAAAGCCAGATCACTGTGTTAATTATGGGCCCGGGGTGTCCCGGCTTAGGACCCGCACACACATGCACACCCGCTCCTCCTCACATGGACATGCGGCGCATTAACTGTAGGCAGCTCACGTGTCCATGTGGAGGGTTCATCACTGGCCAAAGGTATCAATTAGTCCTATTGATCCAGCTCGGTGCTGATACAGCCATGTGCTGACACTGACCTCAGAGTTGAGATAAAACTCACAGCTTCTCTTCTGGCAACACTCACTACAGGAGGACATGTAGTTGTTAGACTGGGTGCAACATTCATGGTCAGTAATTTGATTTTCATGAAGACAAAAGCACAAAGTTTTAGGAGAAGGTTCAGTATGTTTACCTGAACAGGTCAGACGAGTAGCTTGAAATGAATGTTTGGTGCTTTTCCTATGAGAAATCGTTAATAACAGTTCAGTCATTTAGATTTCTGTGAGCCTGGTTTGTAACAGGCTGTGGTTTTACATTTACTTTGTGATTTTTCTGGTGACAGAAACCAGAGAAACGTCTCCAAATGAAAGCAGTGCAGGCTGACATTTAGCTTCCCGAGTAAATGAAGGTGCAGTAATTGAACAGCCTCATATCTGGGGCCTCAGTACATAATAAAAGAAAAGGTTGCAGGCTGCAGGGCGAGCATGGATTGTAATCCACACTGACATTTAGGTTCTCATTTGATTCCGTGTATCTCCGTGAGAAAAGGCCCCGATGGAGCTGCTTAGTGTGCCTTTAACGATGTTCTGGCAGGCGTGGGACTGGTGACTGATTTAGCTCTGGTGAGAAACTACCGGTGAGCTAAAGCTTCTGGGAACGTCTGCATCCGACAGAGGGAGAGAGGGACATGGGGTTAAGCTTCTTTGCTGTGTCACTTTACCAAGGTAACTGTGCTTACCTTAATGAGGGAACAGCTCCTCCCTCGCCTGTGCAGGCAGGACAAACCTCTGCGCAGTAAACAAACCGGTTCATCTGTGCTGCTTCACTGCTGCAGAAATGCTAAAGATCTTTATTCATGTTCTCACTGACTCTCATTGTTTGTGTCTCAGTGGGAAGCCGGCCAGTAACCTCACCCCTCAATGATGCAAAGGTCAGAAACAAGTCTTTTCATTTTCTCTGCAATTCACTTTTCTTTATCACTCAGCCACTAACTGTGTGTTTTTTTTTATAGGTTGAATGTATTATTCAGGAGACACTGAATGAAGATGGGTCACAGCACGAGTGTGGCCCACAGCTAGCAGGTAACATCCCTCAATAGTAGTTTTCAGGCAGCATCGCAGAGTTTAGAGCCAGAAGAATTAGACAAAGTGACCGGCGAGAATTTGATTATTAGCAATTTGTTTGGTAATATTTTAAGTTATTGTTGAGCTACGATGCCAAATGTGCAACAACTCTTTCTGTTTCACATCAGTGTAAATTAAAAACAAATATGAGATGTATTTTGGGTATTTGAAGCAAAACAAACGGTGCATCCGTTTTCAATATTAAAAATAAACACTACCATTTAATGCCCGAGGACGCTCACAATGAATGCTTCTACACAGTGGAACTACACAAACTAGACAAAACACACATCACAAATTACACACAAACAGACATCCTGCACACACAAAGTTGAGTAATTTTTAGTGGATTTTTCTTTTTGGCGTTAAAGCTGCTGATGCAACTCTTGATGCTGCCTGATGAGGATTCATTTTGACGTGAGATCAACAGAAGATGTTTGCTGCTTCTTTTGCAGCATTTATTCTCATTCTGTATCGGGTGTTTTGACGCGGTCCTTTTCTTTTGTAAAAGCCTGTCTGGATCCAGAGAAAAACACTCTGCTGGGATTCTGGGCTTTGTTCTGTTGTTCTGAGTTATTGTGTCTTGTTGTTTTTCTGCAGAGGAACTTGATGAAGTCCAAAGACATCAGGGTCTTCTCAGGGAGCTGCAGAAGCTGGCTGATGACGGTGCGTCGCACAGACTCACACAGACTCACATCACTGCTACAAAACACTCAGATCTCCGTGTTGCATGATACCAACTTTTGTAATCTGACTTTTGCAGAGAGAGAAAGGGAGCACGATGATGAAAGGGAGCACGATGATGAGAGGGAGCGATATGAATACAACCTGGCCGACGATGAGAGCGACTTTGAGCAGAGGGACGAGGAGGAGAAGGACGAGAAGGACGTGAGCGACACGGGAAAAAAGACCGAAGGAAAAGAAGACGAGGAGACGGAGGAGGATGACACCAAGGACAAGATGACGGAGGAGCCACGGATTGAAGACAGAGGGAGGGATGATGAAGAGGAGAGAGCCAAGGAGCTGGAGGAGCTGCTGGCCGAAGAGATCACCAAGAAAGGAAAGGAGGAAAGGAACGATGAAGAGCTCAAAGAACTGCTGAAAGAGCTGAAAAAGAAGCGGTACGAGGCGGTGAAGGAGAGGGAGGTCCAGAAAGGCTCCGGGAGTGAGCAGAAGAAGGAGGAGGTGGAGGAGAAGAAAAAAAAGCAGGACAAGAAGAAGGAGGGAGAAAAGGTGGAGGACTTGGAGAAGCAGAGGATCGAGGAGAGGAGGAAGAACGAGGTGGAGCTGATGGTGGAGAAGGAGAAGGTGGAGAAGGAGCTGAAGGAGCTGCTGGAGGAGCAGGACAGCAAGAGCAAGCCGGAGCAGGAGCGGGAGAGGAAGGAGAAGCAGGAGGAGCTGGAGGAGCTTGTCAAAAAGATGAAACGGGTGAAGGACGAGGAGGACCAGGAGGTGCAAGTCGGGGAGAAAGTGGCTGGCGAGGCTGAGAAGACAGTGGTGGAGGAGGAGGAGAAGAAGAAGAAGGAGGGCGATGGAGAGAAGGAGCCCGATGAGAACGCAGAGAACGCAGTGAAGAAGAAGGAGGAGGAAGCTGTGGAGGTGAAGGAGCCGCTGCAGAAGAGAGTGATGGAGAAAGCGAGCGATGAAGCCACGCGGCAGTTTGAGAGGGAGAGATACAAGGATGAAGACGAGGAAGACGAGGAGGAGGAGGAGGGCAACGGGGAGGATGAAGACGATGAGGACGAATACGTCAGAGAGGATGAGGAGGGGCGGGAGGACGGAGATAATGAGGAGGGTGATGCTGAAGAAGACGAAGGAGAGGTGAGCTGGTGCAAGTAATCAGAGGAGTTGAATATTTCCCAGCAAACTACAGGTTAATTATTCAGTCTAAACATGAAAACAGGGCGACACTTACTGAATATCACACAGTTATTATCAGGACGTTGCTTATGTTGTTTACTTTGCTTTTTATTTTATTCAGCGGTTGCTTATTTTCCTGATTCATGACTTTTGTATTTGCTTATAATGCATGTTGAGGTGAGATCTCTTTTATAAGCCTCTGTGGGGTTTTTTATTCTCCTGCACAGTTTGCTTTTGTTGTTCTGTTGTGCACATAAATAAACAAGAAATACATAAATATGCACATACAGGAGAAGAAGACGAGCCTTTAGGGGAATACAGGAGAAACAGCCGCGTGTTTGAGAATAAATGATCAGACATCGAACCAGCTTTCATGTCTGTCACACATTTAGATCGTACAGCCTGGATATATGCTGCAGAATCAGCTTTTGTATTGCTCTGAAAGTCCTTACACACAAAAAACACATGCATTTTAATCAAAGTTAAAGAAGAAAAATGAGAATGAGTTCATCTATATGTAAATGAACCAAAGTTTAGTGCAAACTGAGCAACTTTTCACTCATCATGAACCTTTTTCTAGAAATGTATTGGACAAATTAACGCTTCTTTTTTTTAATTACAGAAAATTTGGGCCAATTTGTATATATTTCCTGCTCTTTTGAAAAGAGGGCATAAAGCTGAGCTAGTAGATGTTAAAACCCATTAACAAAGTCTTGCAACTCCCAGTGCCGACTATCCAAAGGTTAGAAAGGGAGCAAATTTCAGTTTCACTAATGTAAACCAGCCATATCAACAAACGTTCAGCCGAGTGGTCTTCATCAGATTATGAAAAAAAAACAACCAGACATCATGTCATTTATAAGCAGCAGTTTGCAGGTGATTGTCTTCATGGTGATTACACATCTGACCCGAACCTCCGTCGTTATCGTTCACCTGCTCTTGCTCAGTGTCATATTAGCAGAAAGATGTATGTGGGACCTTAAGAAGCTAATTACTGTGGGAGCAGCAGGTGATTTGTCATTTTTAACGGGGAGGATGATCCAATAGGAGCGCTGCCTGCTCCCACACCAGCACACACAGGGAGGATGGCAGCTAACGAGGGGTCATTGGTCATTTTGCTAACAAGAGGGATGGCTTCCCTCCTCATCCTCCCTCAGATCACCTGCTGCTTTAGGTCCTTCAAGCCAATCACCTGCCAGCTCCTTCACATGCATGATGCCGCCTCTGTTTCCTTTCATGCTCTGATGAAGGCCAACGGGCTACAATCTCAACTTTGGAATTGCATGACTCTGGTTTAGCGTCACAGGGTGCATCCTTCAAACCATCTAAATCCCTGGAAATGTTGGAGGACGTGTTGTTATTGCAGTGACACTGGGTTTAGGAAGTGGTAGGATGTAGACAGGTTGTACACAGAGCTGCTGTTGTTCACTATCTGGTTGACATCCAGTGTGTCTGGGATGAGCTCAACTCTGAAACTTGCTTTCTTGTTGCTCTTGGATGCATTTGATGGCTGGACTTTAGACATATTAAGTGGGGAGGTGTGACCCTTTCATCTCATCTCATCTCATCTCATTTATTCCGTCCACAGGAGCTGCTGGAGATCGAAGCAGAGCTGCGTAAAGTGGCTGCAGAGCTGAGGGAGCTTCGCAGAGGATAAGCTTCACACACACTCACAGCAGACTGACAAAATCCTTTGTTGCATTCGCAGTCACACATTCAGCTCACACATTTTCCATTTAACAGCCTTCAAATCCCTTCAGCACTCAGAGAAATGTCTTTAGATGTGAATCTGTAAATGGACATTTGTAGAAACTGTACATACTGTTGTTTCATTTCTACTTTTAGATTTCCTGGAAACGGCTGTCACTGTTTACTTAGCTGAATGCGTACTTGCGTAGAGGAAAAAGAGTTTTCCAGAGAATCTAAAAGCTCGTGATCATCACTGGTGTCCCTGTCTGAGTACCTGTAAATGCTGTTTGTAAGGTAGACAGGTGATTTCACTTTAGTCGTAATGGATGCAGAGCATTCAGCACTTTCATTCAAATGTTAGTTTCACTGTAGAGTCATGAATACTGGTAATCAGAGCTTCTTTTCTCTGGAGGTCTCATCTTTGATGTTCTTGAGGGGGAGAACTGGTTCCCTACTATAAGTAATATGTGTATTTTAATATATATTTTGTGCAATAATTGATAATAACTAAGTGTAAGCTGTTCCGACTGTTAACAATACGTATTACTGATATTTCTACACAGGAGTAAGTCATGATTTCCTCTTCATTTCCTTGACGATAAAGTAGAAACAAGGATTGTGTTTCATTTGGCTCACGCACTGTTAAAACCAGACTGTTTGTGACGAACCGAGGTGACACGAGCAAAAAAAAACAAAACAATAACAAAAACAAAAACACACAAAACGGAGGTAGATTGTAATTCTGCGCAGCTACACGTACGTCAGATGTTAAGTTTGTCTTTTGCGTGGTCGGTTGTGGCGACAGGATGCGATGTACTTAGAGCTTACAAGGTCTAAAAGTGTCACTTCGGGTTCTCAGCCAGCTTTGCACTCTTATCTTAACAAGCCAAGGAGGAGCGGAGGGAAGAGGAGGGAAACACTAAAGCCATTTGTTGTCTTTTTGGTAACAGCAACACCGACAATAACACTGATAAATGCTCAGTCGTGTTACATCACAGTTCTCATGGCTGTCCTGTCATTTGTGTAAATATCCGATTCGTGGTCTGTAAGCCAAGGTCATAGGAAATATGAAGCAACAGCGCCCCCAAGAGGACACTGGGTAGACGTGCAGATAACAGGGTTACTACTGGAGGCCCACTTACCGCAATAACACAACATAGACTACAGCACACGTGAATGCAATAATTAGCCAAATAATGTATTTTAATATGTAATCAAAGTGCATCATATAAAACTCATATAGCAAATGTAATCTCTCTCTTTTCTACACAGCCAAGATTTACAACACATTTATGTATTCCAACGCTGGCAAAGCGGCCGGTCGACTTGTGCAAACACGTAGTCAACGCTGAGGAGCTCATCACTGTCCGTTCCAAAGACGAGATATATTTGTTCGCTTGAGAATAAATGAAAAATGAATGTACTGTAGTTTTCTTTTTCTATAGAAGTGCAAAATGTTTCCACGAAATCTATCCAACAAACCAGCAAAGAAAGCCGTGGGGAATGTCTGCGGTGGGGGAGGGACATGCTGCTGGGCATAGAGGACATTTCAAACAACCGAATGATCAGAAAAACATCATTTGTAATATTACTGGCCAATCAGAGTGCTGTATTTTGTGCCTGCTGTATCTTCTTCTATGCTACCTGTCAATCAATAAACGGAAAGTGTATCAAACCAGCTCGTGGTGCTTGTTTTGTCCGCCAGCGTAAAGCAGGAAAAGTTAGCAGCACAAAGTTAGAATAAAGCCATGCTACCAAGTGTTGAAGCAAAGTAGCTGAGTTTGGTCCAATAAACTGTAAAGACACTTGTTCTAAGGGATTTTGCTTCTTCTCCTCTTAACTATTGGTGATTGTTTCTAGAGGAGCCGTGATGCTGCAGCAGGAGAAGGAGCTGATGAAGCAGAGCCGGCGGCCTGAGGTCCAGCAGAGGAGTGTTTGTCCAGCACTGACTCGATGTGGCTGAGCAGTGAGGAGAAGAACTGCGGTACGCCCTCGTAGCCTGACAGAGAGGAGACTGCATCAGAACTCCTCGTGTGTTTCTGTGTCTGAACATCGCTGTGTGCAGCTGCAGTACCTGGGAAGATGTTGATGTCGATGACGGTGAGCGTGTGCGTGTGGATGTTGATGATGACGTCCACGCCGAACAGGGCCATGCCCAGCTGAGCCCGCAGCTCCCGGACCAGGGCGGCCACGGCTTCGGAGCTGGGAGGAGGCAGGCACGGCATCTCCTCATCCAGCTTGGAAAACGAGGTGAAGAGACATTTTCAGTCAATTTCAAGCTACTGAGGGTGCAAATCTAAAAAAAAAAAGGGGGATCAGGGGGAATCGAGGGACCACAGAGATCCTAAAATCCACCCCAGATCTGATTAGGTCAAGTTTATTCACTGAAGCTCTGATGTCCAAGTTTCAGTGAATGCAGCTGCAGGTACTGAGTGCAATGAAAGCAGCATTAGATGACTGTAGCTGCTGTGTGTCACAGAGAGGACAAAACACTTAGTTTGTGTGCCTTTAACTGACAGAGGTGCACAACCAGACCACTAAAGGTTCACAGGAGCTAAAGTTTAGCGTGTTGCTGTTTGTAGGAGTCCTTCCCCTGAGTTTATGAAACACCAGGATTCATGTGAGCACCATCAAGAACGAGAAGACACAGTGGTAACTTCATTAACTATCTATAAATATGAATTTTTCCTGACATGCAGACAGAATCAATCGGGATCTAACAGTAAATCTGTTTTTTAGAGCAGGATGTTTGCAGCAGGGACATTAAAGTTCATACAGTCGCGTTAACTACTAACATACAGGTTTAAAAAAGGCATCCTGCTAATAACAGAGACACTGTTTTGTTCTTTGACTACGTGTAATTAGAAAAAATATGATCACACATGGACATGAACAACTATCAGTGTTAAAATCTTAAATAAATGATGGATGTCTTGCCTGTGGGTGAAGTTTTTCCCTTCACATATAGCAGCATCTCTTCTCCTGGACTATTTTTGAACTGCGACCCCTTTAATAAGCAAAATGTTCCTTGTGCTCATATTAGTCTATGCACATCAGATAATTAGTCGCATTGCCCGTAAACTAAGAAACCACAAGCATTCCTTAGCTCTCATAACTATGAATACTTGTCTCTGACCTGCTGCTCTAAAGCGTTTCACTCAGCTACTACTCACAGCTGTGAGATCAGAGCTCGACTCTGGTTTGGATACCTGATGGCTGTTGAAGAAGATGGTCTTCCTGTCTGGAGGCAAAGAAAAATCACAACTACAGCGTATACAGGGAGCAAAGCTGGATGATAAAGAGAAACACAAAGGCATAAGTTAGGACCGGGAGAAGATGGGACAGGAGAAGATCGGGCAGAGCTGGAAAGGAAAGGAAAGGAAAGAGCGAGGAAAGTAAGGTCAAATAAAGAAAGGGAAGGAAAAGTTTTGTCTGTGCGTTGATGGGTTCGGACTGACCACAGGGACCAGAGGGGAAGTTCTTGAGCGAGGGTCTCTCTACGCAGTAGTGTCTGTCTCCCACCACAAACACCTTGTGCAGAACAGCCCCGTGGTTCACGAAGCTCTGGAGCACGCAGGGAGGACGGATGTCAGCCAGGCTGTCTGCACTGAAGATCAGCGACATCTGCAGATGCACATGGAGCCAACAGTGAGTACACAAGTATGTTTATGGTTATAAAAAGAGACTTTACGAGCAAGAAGAAAGCAAACCACGTACTTCATGGGAAAGTGAGCCATGTGCTACTCTGGTTTTACAAACTGGGGTCAACAGAGAAACAGAGGAAAAGGTTTATGGTTCTGTCAAACTTAGTTATAAAGTAGACATGGAGCATTAATTCAGAAAGTGAACTGACTGAGAGGGAAGCTGAGGTTCTGAGCTGTCACACCCTGTTGAATGGATGGCAGCTCAGTGGCGCTGTGGATCTCCAGGTAAGGGGGGCTGCAGATACGCCAGTCTGCCGGACGAAACAGAACAGAGCAGGCAAGTGGTGATAATCAGGCTGCAAGCTACAGAAGTTACTCCGTGAAGCTGCAGGTCACCTCGCAGTGAGTTGTGCAGCTCGCTCATTATCCGATAGGAGGCAAAGCGGTCCAGTAGCTGAGTCATGGCGGGCAGGGGGTCCAGCAGGATGGTACTGGGGTGAGCTGACACATAGCTCTGCATGTGAAAGACCGAGAGAGGAAACTTACTGATGCACTAACTAAATCACTGCACGTTGAGAAACACTGGGTGGTTTCTAACCTCCTGGGGACGCTATGCAAAAACTGGTTTGGGGGCATTCTCGCTATTTCAAACGTGCATAAATACTCACTAAATCTGCATGATGTTTCATATAGATAGAAGAAGAAAAAAAGATGTCAAGTAAACATCCTGCTATAAATATATATATATGGTATCATTTATAGAGGTATGTTTTATTTTGAAAAGCCAGCATATTCACAAACCTGAGCAGTTCCTTTTAACATCTCTGAGCTTTTATTTTGAAAGAGTATTGTAGTTTACCTGTTTACTCCCTGTAAATACTAGTGTTTTTCCTAAAATACTCACTCAAGTACACATTTACAAGCAGCATTAAAACCCTGTAGGACGACAGCACCACAACAGCACGTCTGACCAAAAGAGCAATGAGTGAGGCAGGAAATTAGGGCAAAAAATTATTGTCAAGGAAACAGAACGCAACAGTCTCACATGTAGTCCATGTACAGCTGCAGCAGTATGTGAAGCTGCAACGAGTATCAGCATCAACCTGAACTAACAGAGGAGTTAGTACGAGTGGCTATCTGTATTTATGCACGATCAATACTACAGTTTAAAGTCCCCCACATAAAAAACATATATTGGCTTACAGGAATAAACTAAACAGATGAGTAACAGGTATTACTGTGCAATAACATCACCTGGAAGTTGGCCAGGAGCTGCTGTGATTGGCTGTTGTGTTCCGCCTCCACGATGACATCAGACAGCTTGTGAATGATGACGTCAAAGGGTCCCTGAGCTCCCAGCGGCTGAGAGAGGTCGATCTGTCGCATGAAAAAACACAAAATATTGCACTTCTTAAATAGCTTGTGTATGTAAGAGAAAGACAACACATTTATTAAAGTGTTAAACCGTAGCTTTTGTCTATCATGAGCCTTCGGCTGATGACTGGAGACTCTGAATTCACAATTTCTTCCAGGAGGTGCATCAACTGTTTGTCCTGACACACAGGCACATGAAAAGATTTCAAAACAAGGTTAAGGACATTTTATTGAACTGATTCTAAAGTCCCTGTTTATGCAGTTGTTTGACATTAAAAAAATACTGTGTGTTTCTCATTTCAGCTGATTCTTTAGAGAAGGAATATGTCGATGACAAAAATGATTTTTCTGTTCCACTTCTTCTCTCCTGTTCCTGAAATCCAAACCACAATCACACACACACCCCTGCTCTCTGCACAACATCGAGCTCACGTCAGCTTTTAAATCCAGGTTAACAAAAGCAATGCACAAGCTAATTCCTCGACCGATATTTACATGCAGCTAAATGAGCAATTACAAAAAGCAGTCATTGTTTACAGTTTTGCTCCGAGCAGATTCTAGTCGGTGGCTGCAGGTGGTTGTGACACTGATGACTGCAGTTGTAGACATCTGTACATGACGTGTGTGTCTGTGAGTGCACAGCGAACCTAAACTACTGCCACTGGTGTGATGCTTTACACAAAGCAGACATGCACCCTGCTTCATGCAAAAACAAGCATTAACATACAAAAACACTCTTAAACCCTTTGATGCACTTTTCATTCCCCCTGATGTAACTTTAAGGTTGGTGTTATCTTATTTCTAAGGATCTTATGTTGTCTACACTGAGAGAAATGCTCAGCACAAGCCACCTTGTTCAGCCTGGATAACAAATTTATATATTTATACTTTTCTCTCAGGAATACACATCGTGTCTTTGTTGAGTTTAACCACAAACTACGTTTTTTTTTAGGAACATGCCGACAAATGGAAATATTCTAGATTCCAGCCACATTTAGCCTGATATGTCTGGCATCTTTGGAAACTTTGGGATCTGCACTAGAACTTTTTGAAAGCATTTTAAGCAGAGTCTGGATGCAGAGCACGAGCTGTAATGACTGAAGCACCAGTTGGGCCACTCCTTTGAACAGGTACAGTTTTAAAACCACTGCCCAGTCCTGTTCTTCACACTTCACCAGACACGTCATTGTAAATGCAAAAGATTTACACACACACACACACACACACACGCGTCATGGGTGGAAACACACTTACTTCCACCACTTCCACTCCATGACCCCTGCAGAAACAATATAGAAATGTAAAGGTTATTTAAATGTATTTACACAAGAGCCGTCTAATATCAAACAAAACCAGCAAAGAAAAATATCAACAAAACAATTCAATGCTTTTTATGAAAACTTTAATTGAAGTTAGATTTAACTAATAAACTACAGTAAGTTAGTAGAAACAGCTTTTACTCTACAATCATGTGTAATTATTAATTACCACTGATTTATTGACTGGAATCTTTAAAAAAAAAAAGAAGAAAGTTTTAAAGCAGATTACTCATGAAAATTAAGTATTGGTATGTCATTTAATAGGAATTTTTTAGGTGTTATGGACTTAGGTAGGTAGTTAGGACTTTTTAGGTTGACAAACATTAAAAAAAATTACGTTTCTCAAATTCGATTCTTTCTTTTTTTAAACTGCCGATCAAAATGACAAGTTGTGTAGATGAAGCACAATATTCAAATCTCAAAAACAAAAAGACAACTCGTTTAGCCCTCCTATTACCTTCAAATTTACTGACATCTTTAATCCTTGGGTTCAATTTAAACCTCCAGAAAACATCCTAATTGAAATTGTTGCCCATGTTTATGTGTAAATAGCCCTTTAAATAAAACTGAAAAAAATATGTCTTGTGACTTATGACTTATTTAGAGACGTTAAACATTGAATGGGGTCAAATTGACCTCAAAGATAACAGGAGGGTTACGTTACACATAATATTAAGGTGATGCAATTACCAATATCATTATGTAACTCAACCCATTAAATTAATGTTTGAAGGAAAAAGTTCAGGTAAAAAACACACCTGGCAACCACTTAGCATTTGATGAAGTGGTGTTGATAGAGAGTGTACATCACTGTAGGTAAGTGATCAAAATGGCTTTTGCTAAATAAAATAGGTAATATATAAAGAGGTGCTGTTCAGTGCTCCATCTGTTATTGCAATAATCATTATTTTATGTTGCATACTGATTTTGCTGTCTCCAGCACTAAGGGCTTCCATGTTAAATAACCTCAAATGATCTCGTTTAAAGTGTAATAACAAGATCTCTTACTGAGTTTAAAAGTCAACTTACTCACAGAACTCTGCAAACGCGTCCAGGTTCATCCTCCTGCGCTTCTTGTCGCTCAGACAGAACCCGACCCTGCGGCCCGACATCAGCTCCGAGTCCGCCAGGAGCCAAGTGACACTGGCACGGACGGCCGGGGGGACGGGAGGGGGGACGCCTCTCTCACCCATCCATCCCTCCCCCTCTGACTTCCCCTGAACAGTGAACAAGCAGCGTCTGTTTGTCGCGCTGACTCCTCCGCCGGCTGAGCGTCTCCACTTCCGGGTTGCAGCGTCCAATAGGAGCCGAGGTGCCAAAACTGAAAGAGAAAGTAAGAAACTGGGGCAAGTTGCTCCATTACTCTGCGTTTTGTTCAGCAGCGGCACAGGCATGCTGTTTCCCGACGACTGACTCTGTAAAAGAAGCGAATAAATCCCTGTTCGGTTACTTATAAAGATATTTTAAGTGCTGTTGAAGTTCACCTGAGAAAATGTCCCGCGGCTCCAACGCAGGTTTCGACCGACACATCACCATCTTCTCCCCGGAGGGCCGCCTCTACCAAGTCGGTAAGAGACACGCTTTTTGTGGGGTTTCAGCCAACAGTAGTGCCGGAGTATGTTTAATGTACAACTGAGTTACATGGCTGCAGTTACAGAGTGCAGCTACACCGTTAATTTAAATGGAAATAACTGCAGAAACAGCGCGAAGCTAACATGCTAGCATGCTCAGGTGTGTGTGTGGGTGGGGTTAGCCGTTAGCATCCACACATGACAAACTCTCACTTCTAATGTTTAACTCTTTGTTTATTGTAATTTAACTTAGTGTTACACTCCAGATTTATTTTGTTAATGTGTTATACACGTATTTTAGTGTTTAAAGTAGCTTTGAAGTTCCCCAAAGTCCTCTTCATTCAGTGTAATAAATATTTACATCCTTTATTTTAAAACACTAAAACAGCAATGTGAAAATACTACAAGTGAAAGCACACTGGCAGCAACAGGTAGTATTAAAGTAAAAGTACTGGTTTGTTCCCTCTGGTTTATTATAATTATATGTGATTATAGATTATTAATAGCCAAGCATCAGGTTTAAACTACTTTATATTTATGGGCAGCAGACGGCTCCTAACATGATTATTAGAAGAGAAAAGAAGAACAAAAAATAAAGTCTTCATCTACAAATCACTTCTTTAGTTTTTGGACTTTTTCTCTAATTCTTGATCTTTGGTGAGATATTGGATCATTGGGACGTTTACTGAAATGAAACCATGTGAGAGTTTTAGAGGGACAGTTTGATGGAGGTATTAATAACTCTTAGACTTCTAAACCGGTTTAATCTTTCCCTACACGCTGTGAAATCTTCATCTTAAAGGTCACATCTTAAAGTACAATACTTTGCTCTGAAGTTGAAATGAAATGGAAATACTCAAGTAAAATACAAATACAGCCAAATTGTACAACAATATTTGTGTAGATGTCCTGTGGATAAAGGACCAGACAGGTTTCCTTCTGATAAATAAGATTTGACACATTAAGACTTTGTATTTTATTCTGTTCTATTTAGAATCAGAAATACTATATTGATCTCTGAGGGGAAACTGCTGATGGCACAGTTGCTCCCATTTAAATCAGAAACATAAACAGTATAAAATATATAAACACAAGTAGAAAATATGACCTCAAAATATAAACACGAGTAGAAAAATATGACCTAAAAGTAGAAATATAACTAGAAACCCTATAAGCATGAACGTAAAAATGTGCTTTTCCTAAGAAATGAGAAATAAGAATGCCTTTATTGTTGCTGTGTTGTTTACAGTGAAATTAGATTGCTGCTCCAGTTGGTCCATTTAAATAGTTTAAAAGTACAATAAAAGAATATGCAAATAGTGGAAGGCAGCAGGTAGAAAATTTTACAAAATAAACATATATATACAAAAATTTCAGATATCAGGAGATGAATTTTAAGCAACATAGTATTGCACGTGTTATGATGTGGTATTGCATGTTGGTAAAAGTTTTATTTTTTTTTGCACATTTTTAAAGTTATTGCACAGATATTTACTGTTGATGAGGTTTATTGCACGTGTATGTTTTGTGTCCAAACTGTTGTAAGTAGTGTGTTACTGCACAGAGGATTTTATTTTGCTCTCATGTGCCGTCATGTGCAGAGTATGCCTTCAAAGCCATCTCTCAGAACGGGTTGACATCCGTGGGGATCCGGGGGACAGACAGCGTCGTCGTGGTCACACAGAAGAAAGTACCGGTAAGATGACACACACATGGAAACACACACACACACACACACACACACACACCTCAGATGATGCTGTGAGTTGAAGCCAAACAGTGAAGCCACATGAGTCAAGACAAGTCAGCAAGAAGCTGCAACAAGATATGAACAGAACACCGCCGTTAACACGCCGTTATTCATATTACTGAGCCTCAGACAAGCTTCTATCAGACAAAGGGGGTGGACAAATGTGTATACTAGTAATTTTACTCTTTTCCTGTCGATTGTTAGTATCTAGCCATCATAGCTACGGATGTTAAAGAGTCTACACGAGTCTAGATTTGATCCTGAAGATCTAAAGAAGATTCATTCAAACTTAGAAATAAATGAAATGCACATAATCAGCCCAAGCACATTAATTGGCTGAGCATAATTTATCATATTGTCCAAATCAAACAGTGTCATCTTTTCTATTTTACCAGTCAGTTGTTGTCAGTTGAAAGTGTTTTACTTGGACTGTATGACGGATCATTATACAGCCACGGCGTTCATTTAATGAAGGTGAACTTTAAGTCTCCTTCTCCTGACTCAGGACAAGCTGCTGGACCCTTCCACTCTAACCAACATGTTCAAACTGACTCCTCGCATCGGCTGTGTGATGACCGGACACAACGGTACGTACTGCTTACATATCTCACGTCTTTGTTGAAGTCTTGACTACACTTATTTCTGACTTATAGTGTGAGTTTTAATATTGTCAAAAGTTGCGTGTTTTTGCATTTAATGACACGACTCTGTCTTTTGCAGGGGACAGTCGTTCGCAGGTTCACCGGGCCCGAGTGGAAGCTGGAGAGTGGAAATATAAGTTTGGTTATGACATCACGGCAGACGTGTTGTGTCGCAGGTTGGCTGATATCTCCCAGGTGTACACGCAAAACGCTGAGATGAGGCCTCTAGGCTGCTGTGAGTGGGATTTTAGTTATGTAGTGACTCGTTTCCTCGTCTTTATTTTGATCTTTGCTATCTCATTCCTTGTATTTCCCTTTACTTGCATTGCAATCGTTCAGTTTTAGGTTTAAAATTAAAGGCACTATGATAGAAGAGCTTGTAAGGAATCATGGAAGGAAGAGTACACTTCAGTTTTCAAACTCTGAAGGACGTCTTGCTTTCCTTTACCTAAAATCCTGTTTTTACGTTGCCTCCCACACTCTCCCGCTGCTCTCAGGTATGATCCTGGCGGCGATAGACTCCCAGCTGGGTCCTGTTCTGTATAAGTGCGACCCGGCAGGCTACTACTGCGGCTTCAGAGCCACGGCGGTCGGAGCCAAGCAGACGGAGGCCAACAGCTACCTGGAGAAGAAGCTGAAGAAAAAGCCAGAGCTGACCCATGACAGGGCAGTGCAGGTAACGTGAAGCCTAATGGAACAGGCCGTGTAAACGTGACAGTGTTGGAATGAATTATTGATATGGAACATCCATTTATAGTCCAAAGACAAGCGATTCTGTCTTTACAGAGGTTGTCAGGTTGGCGTCTGAAGGATCGTCGTTTCTATCAAGTATTCCTGAACAAAACATCAGCTTCCTGTCGAGTCCCTCGGTATACAGAACATTTTAGCATTTAGTGCAAGAATAAACAAAAAGGTCTCGTAGAAAGTGAAAGGACACCTGGTTGTCACACATGTGGGACAAGCAGAAAACTTTGCATTAGGTGTTAGAACAATGTTCTCCAGATGCATCCTCGTCTCCTGTTGTTGTCCACTTTCTGCTTCTTTCCTCTTATCTTGGTTTGCCTAAGTGTCTCTGAGAAGTAAAGCAACTTCCGTCTGACAGGATGAGATCATTGCATGACAGATGTGACTTACAGTTATCAGTAAACCTTAAGAGTCCATCATATTAATGAAACGTTTAACGTGGCTGTTCGTTTTTTATCTGGTCCTGTTTGGAGTCGACTGTACAGACGCTCCAGAAGTGGGTTGTTGTAGAACCAGCCGCTGATGTAATTGAACTGTTGTCGATGTTTGAGTGTCACTGGCACAGCAGTTAAAGTCAAAGTCAGAGTGACGCCGTTGTTTCAGTGTGTCTGGTTGAGATATAGTTCATTTCTTTATTGTGCTAGTTTTCGGGTTGTCCTGTTGCCATCATTGTTCTCAGACCTGCACCTCATCAGTTTTGTGTTGCCATTAAGAGTAACTTAATGTGGGACAAATCAGATTGCTTCCTCTTTTGATGCATTATTGATAACACTAGTGCCAAGTATGGGCGGCTGTGGCTCAGGTGGTAGAGCGGGTTTACCTCCAATCGCAAGGTTGGCGGTTTGATCCCCCGCCACAGTGCCCTTGGGCAAGACACTGAACCCAAAGGTGCTCCCAGTGGCAGGTAGCACCGTGCATGGCAGCTCTGTCGCCACTGGTGTACGAATGTGCGTGTGAACGGGTGAATGAGAAACACATTGTAAAGCGCTTTAGATAAAAGTGCTGTAGAAGTGCAGACCATTTACCATTTACATGTCAACATCTATATAAAAATGTAGGATCAGTTTCCCAGAGTCACTTTTTCATGACGAAAAGAAGCTTGCAGAGGAAACTGCAAACAGTAAAGAGAAGTAAATGTGAGGGCTTATCAGTTGAATTGATACCTTATTTAAATGAATAACGATAATACATAGTTCAGGGTTTTGTTTTCTTTTTATTCTCAGTGACACAGATTTTGTGTTGTATTGGAGATAATTGTCTCACAGTTCATTTAGTGTTGCAGAATCACTGCGTCTTTAATTTACCATTATCCCAGACAGTGCATCATCATCATCATCATCATCATCATCATATTGTGAGTTACTCTGTGTTATTCCTGCCTCTACTACAGAGTGTTAAACTGATTAAACCTTCTGTATGAATGGCAAACATGAGCAGAGCAGCAGAGTTTATACCAGCTGTTGCTAAATATCCGTTTTAGCTTCACGGCTGACAACCTGATGAACAGGCTTCTGAGGCTCAAATGTAATCACTTGTTATATTAAAGGCATGAACTTGGAACCATATTGGCCGTTACGTGTGGAGTTTTCAGTGCTACCTTGACTGTAAATCATGTGTAATGTTGTGACAGAAGCATTTCCTGTGTCAGTATCGCTCATCCAGCCCCTCTGTGTTTCCAGTTGGCCATATCCTGCCTGTCCTCTGTGCTGTCCATGGACTTCAAGTCCAGCGAGCTGGAGATCGGCGTAGTCACTAAAGAAAACGCTAAGTTCAGGTAACTGCTCTCAACTCTGTGTCTGAGAGTCAAACCATCACTGAAGTTCTGCCTTGCAATATTGTCTTTCAGCCTGACAGAAGTGTGTCATGTGTTTGATGTGGCTGTAGTTTTGATTTTACCCGTCCATGCTTTTGTTTCCGTCCGTCTCAGTGGGACTAATGTTTTAACAGACCACAGCGTTTATGTGATTGATGCATTAGCTCCATTTAAAAGGCTTCACGTGACTGACTGTGTCCTCCTCGTATTAACTTACTTCACGCTTCTTTTCCTTCCTGTTATTCCCATTTTCACTTCACCTTCCCCCGTCCCTCCTGCAGGACGCTGTCGGAGGCCGAGATCGAAACCCACCTGGTCGCCATAGCGGAGCGGGAGTAGAGGTGCCCCCACAGACATCAGCCCACCTCTCATCATAGTGTTTCATTCTCAGTGTGTCTGATTTATCTCAGTTTAGCAGCACAGTTACCCACAAAAGTCTTTCACCTCCAGGAATCATGCAGATAAGAAACTGTTTTAAAGCATCCGTACAGATTTAAAACACCTTTCCAGTGGCCTTTAAAAAATTCAACATGTAATAGTTATTTTTCTATTCTGATCTTATGCCATCTTTATTGGACACAAACAGCGGTTTCAGCAACACATTCCTCTTCTATACGTACATGTATCACATTTCCATGTGTGATTAGCAAAACTCATGTGATGCTGGTTAGGATGTGTTTAGAGTGTTTGTCATACATCTTATTTAATACTGTATGTTTATAAAACCACCTGCCAAAAATTTGCAATTTAATTGTCAGTGGGACTAATTGTCATAATAAACCAGAACAGAAGGAAGACTAGAAAATGTCCTGTGTTGCTTTTGATTAAGTAGCCGAAAAGATTTCTTTGCTTTTATTTTCTAAAATGAGGTTGATATTGTAAAATATCCTGATTGAATAGAACTCCCCTCGTTGGTCAGCAGGTGGCGTCAGTGAGGTGACGGCATTATCAGAGGGCAAAAAGGGAACTAATCTACAACCTAAACAGTCTGATCATAGCATCGTAGCTTTGTGTACAGGATAGAGCATCGACTTGGATTTAGTTGGAGGTATTCAGAGAGGGATGAATGAAACCTGCTTCAGTACCAAGAGTGAGGAAAACATTACAGATACCCGCATGTTGAGCTGTTTAGCAGCAACAATAAAGCTTAGAATTAATTGATCAGTAAATGCATGCATCCATACAATCACCTGTACTGCAGGACGTCCTGAGCTACTTCATGCGACCACCAGGGGGCAGCGTCCGCTTCTGACTTCTTCAGAGTATTTTATAACAGAAAACTATTATTTCTGTTTGTACTTTTCTATTTAGGGAAATCTATTTTGGCTCTTGTAAACAATTAGTCTCTGGACATTGCGTGTGCGTGTGCGTGTGTGAGACGGCCAATTGTGTCATTGCGTCTTGTTGTGTGTGTGTGTGTGCAGCACTCTTGAGTTTCCATCACGGTGACCCTCCGATCTAAAGATACGGATCACTGTCCTATTCAATTACCAAATGTCAACGTCAGTCTGGACGCATAAGCATTTCTACGTGCAGCCGCTCACACGTAATAACTCTCAAACACAAGCACATGAAATGACAGAGAACAGCAGGATGTGGTTAGACTTTATTAAAACTGGTTGCTTACAGAAGTACACAAATGTGTTGTTAATTTACAGAAAGTGTGTGCAGATCATTACAGGTTAAACAATATTATTTTATGATGATATTCCATTTTTACTTACCTGAGAATCCAGCTCCTTAGGATTGACTTAAACAATAGCTGGACACCTCCAGTGTGTGTAGCAGCCACATGACAGAGATAAATGTTGTAATTTTACAGGTTTTAGGTCCCAATTCCCAACAGATAGTAATTTTAAAGACTGAAACTGACGAGTCACAATCCATCGCTTGTGGGACTGAGAGGAGGGATATTCAAAGAGAGGATCTTTATTTTGTTTGCTGACATAGCTGGGATTAGGCTTGTATAAGTGAGTCTCAGTGAAGGCAGCAAAAAGCCCCGCTAGTCTCCTTAAAACTACTAAAGCAAGAAGGCCCCGAGTCACACTGACAAGGCCTCTTAATTCGTTTCAGTGTCTCTTCTCCACTTTGTGCGTATGAAGGTACGAGTCCTGGCACATAAACGCTCCCGGCCTACTTTGCGCCGATGCCAACAGCCGTGTTGGGAAAGTGTTGCCACGTAGCTTAAAGCCAATAAGGGACGCACGACGGTCAGTTCAGACATGTATATATAGTCGCAGTACTGGCAAATGAGAAGGCTGGTATTTTAATTGGTGAGTTCAAGCTGCCCCCAGTTTGCCGTCGTCCTCATGTCTGGTACTGGATGCACAGAACCTGGAAATATACAAAGAAGAACTTAAGAAAACAGAAAAAGGAACATCATGAGTTGTTTACTGTTCATGCAAGCGACAACAATCAGCTCGGGGTTTCCTCACCAGCTGACTTCTGCCTCGTCTATGTGTCTGAAAGGCCTTTCCACAGCAGAGCAAAGCCACTTCTCGTCTGTGCAGAGCTGCAACTTACCAGCATTTTAATTTGCAAAAATCTTTCAGTTATTTTCTTAATTAATCAGTCAGTTGCTTGGTTTGCACAGTGTCAGTTTGCTGTCGTAGAGGATGAAGCAAACCATAAAAGCGACATATTTAAGAAGCTGGAATCACAGGATTATTGTATTTTTCCTTTAGGAGTTTCTCTAACTGATTGTCAAAATTAGCTGGCAGTTAATTTAAAAGTCGATTAATCGTTGCAGCTCAGTGTTAAAGTGTCTCACTGAGCCAGTACACAGCAGAACTGAAGTCTTTAATTTTATTTATAGTCCTATATTTTTACAGTATGTCTACTGTTATTTAAAAAAAGGGCTCATTCATGCTATTTATGTGTTACTGAGGCCTTATCACACAGAGAGGAGTAGAGATGTTATTTTGAGCAGTTTCTAAATTATTAAATTATGAAATGGGAGAACAATTTGATGTGCTTCTATGAATTTTGTTCAGCAATAAATGTTTTTTGTAGGAAACCATAAGAGACATAATTTGTTATTGAAAGCAGACCTTTACTTAGTTCATGAGTAAAGGTGAATAAGGAATATGAGAAATTATCACTATCCAAGTGCCTAAATTACAAAAATGAATATATTAGTGTTCCATCAGATACTATAGATATATATTTTTTTCCTTTTGTTTGTTTGTTTTCAAAATAAATGCCTTAAATGTGTTCACCTTGAATTCATAAAGTCATTGATGAACACTGCATCTTTTATGAAAGAAAGCAAAGTAGTCCCTGATCATGTTGTGGTTGGAGGTGGATTTGATAGCGACAGTGCAGAGAGACATTACAGAGAGCAGGAGAATCACAGAATCTGCTCCCTAACAGCTGCAGTTTGCTGCCTGATGTTTTAAAACCATTTTATCTTCTTTATGAAATTTTATTGAACAACAGCTCTTGTGTTAGCACTATTAGCATTTTATCACTGTTTACGTGTGCTTTGGCTTTTATGAATTCTCCCTGATGCTGATTAAACACTTTTCTTTCCTTTAAAAACATTTCCTCCTGCCCACAGCACAGCTCCACCCCCCCTCCTCACCATACAGTGTCGGCTTCCATCTCCCCCGTTGCCTCTCCTCCCCTGCCTCACCCCTCCAGACCTCTCCTCTCCCAGCCCCTCCCCAGCTCTCCGCAACCTCAGATGCCTTAACCTTCCTAATTCTCAGACGTTCTGTTCCTCTGTCTGCTCTTGTTGCCTCACCTCCATCGCTGCCTCCACCTGCTAGCCACCTCACAGCCCTCCTTCTCCTTCCTCACCCCCACCTTCCACCCCACCGTATGAAATGTTGACCCTGTGGCTGGTGTCTCCTGGTACTGGGACTGCCTGCCAAGCTGAATGGGTAGCCAGACCGTGTGTGTGTGTGTGTGTGTGTGTGTGTGTGTGTTGGGTCACAGCGTGGGGATTAGGTGTGTGTGAGTGATTGAGGGTGACAGCGGCCCTAGCATTAGGTGCCCTGTGGCAGATTTCGTAGGCCTGTTTTAGACACACTAAGCTGGATTTACCAGCAGCAGTGTGTCAGCAGTGATGCAGCCTGCCTGGACCTCCTACAGAACACACACACACACACACACACACACACACACACACACACACACACACACACACACACACGGACCCTAACCATCCACCTGTAACCTGTCTTGACTGTCCCAAGAACCCATTTGTCTCAGTCACTTTTTTTTTGCTGCTTACAGCTAATTTTATTATTTTTTATTATAACTTTTTCACACCGCCGTAAACAGACTGACACACAATGGACTCTTGGAAGCGTGCAGCCCACTGCAGCATGCACTCACCCTTTACCTACAGCTTGACCCCAAAACAAACAGCAGGGCTCAGTCATGTCAGCATCTCTGTCAGAGAAAGGTTTACATTAAATCTATATTTTTAGTGGAATCACTGCTGTCCGTGCAAAGTAACCTCACTTGGCTGAACTTCAACATGCAGAAATGCACTTTTGTTTCATTGCATCCATTTGAAGAGCAAAGTTCAAAGTGGAGGAATTGTTTTAGCTCAAATTGTTTAATTAAATGCTAACATTTGTGGTGCGAAGGCCCGGCGGTCCGTTCCATGATCACACTCAAACGTGATGTAACTCGGTGTCTTGTTTTTAGTTTCCGAGCTCACGAGCTACAAGAGTTCTGATCATGATTAAAAAGATAAAAATTCCTCTTCTTCTCCTCTTTTGCAGTGACTTCGCAGCTAGAATTTATTTTCTGAGAAAGTTCTGCTGTGATTTCAGTGCGACGTTTTTTTCTTTTTCATTCTAGCATGCTCTAAACACATTGTGCAAATGTTTGGTGAGAACGTTGTTACATGGTTATACCCTAATGTTCTTACAATGTGTACCATTAGATAGCCAACGTTGTGGGAGCGTTTTATAAAGGAACATTCAAACGTCTGCCTCCTCACCAACAGAATACTGAAGGCAAACTGCTCAGATGTCACATTATAGGAAGGTTTTATGAAATGTTTGAGGCCTCGATAACGTCTCGAAAACATTTTTTAAACGTTGGTTTGAGGATGTTTTTTTTTGTGTAATCATGTATCATAATCGTTGGCTGTGACAGCATTTGCAAAATGTTCTCTGAATGTTCCAGTTTAACCTCATAGGAACATTGTTTGAAATGATAAATATCCCAAAAACATTCTTTGGTCGTTCGATTTGAAATGAAATGAAATGAAGTGAATGAAATGAAAAATACTTTATTTATCCCAGAAGGGAAATTCAATTTAAATTCGATTTAAAGGTTTTATTTAAAACATTATTAGAACTTGTAGGTGATGTAACCCGGTGTTCTCTCAGGTAGGTTTAACGATGCAGCAAACACAAGCAGCTAAATGTGTTTTGTACAAATTTAGACTTTTTGCGACTCTTTTCAGTCACATTTTCTGCACCTTCACCATTTCTTGCTTTTCCTGCAAATTCCATGTTTGTGCACCTTGCTTCAAAAATGCTCCACAAAAGAACTGATTGTGATGAAGATGATGATTCTCTGAGGTGCATGCTGGGTATGTTGCTGTGTTTGTGTGGTCACTCAGTGTGAGGCTGTGTGAGGCCGCTGCGTGTCTGCACACACGCCTACTGAAGCTCGACTGTGCGTTTCTTTGCGACACTTGTGCGCCGCAAATGTTTACGTGCACACCGTTGTCCCCGAGTGAGTGTGCGTGTGTGCTTGCTCCCAGATCTCTGTTACAGCCCGTCCATTGTGAACAAGAGTGTTGAGCAAGATCCTGACCCACCGGCGGGTACTAATCAC